ATTTTCCCACAATCCAATGCATTCTTCAAATGGAAATCACAAGTATGAGGTTTGACCTGGGCGCGACTTTCATTGATAACCGACGGTGACTCCTTCGATACCTTCCAATCACATGAAAATTGCCTGATTAAAGCTTGGAAACGTTTCAGTTCGTACTCGTTGATCTGCGCAACAGTCAAAGTCGCCATCTTTGTTTATATAAGACCCATATATCTCGCACATGCGCAGCGCGACGACTACCGCGTTTTAACGTATGCTTCTCGTAGCTCGAAGTTCTGTTAATTGCTAATTAGACATCGAGTACAATTAGGGCGTGGTTTCGCAAAAGTGGGCGTGGTTTCTAAAATATAGGCGTGATAATTTTTGTAACTCGGCGTTTTCGTAACTCGATGTTCGTAACTTAAACAATTCAACATCTCCCATCTTACTAGTGTTGTAATTATTGATTCCCCTATACAACATTGTTGCCTGGTCAACAATATATATTCTGACTGACAAAATACTTTTGGATGTCTTAAATCATTTTTTCAAAATAGTGGTATGTCAATGTAATAATTCTTTATATTGTGTTCTATGGAAACTATGTTTCCTTTTGTGAATGCTGGTCAGGCTTATATCCATGTAATACAAGTAATTTAAAGCGAGAGGGTCGTCATCTGCGCACGCGCGGGAATTGAGTCCCAAGCTAAAAACGCTAAAACGCAAAGGCTCATGGGTAGACGCTTGTTTGTAAACAATGACACGCTATGGCAATCTGACGCATGCGCAGGTGACGACTCCACCGCTTTAAATACTGTCATGCTAATTTTACAGATTTACAGTAAAGAATTATGTGTCTAGGTTTGTTTCTGCAACTTCTGGGCCACATAACATAATTAATGGAAATCAGAGAAGATTGTTATTTGTATTTCAGATATAAAAACGGCTGGCTTCAGCAGTTTATGGCATTGATGTGGAGAGGTAGCCTTCAAGTATTACGCGATCCAGGACGAATGAAACTGAGGATCATCAATAGTGTCGTAAGTACAACTACCACGTGACGTATACTTACCTTACCTTATTACTCTGATATATGTGGATAGCCCAAATACAATCGACTGTGCGAAAGAATGATGTCTGATAATAGTTATAGCGTCCTAGTGGAGACAAACATCGCGTAGGTTTCGACAAACGCGAAAGTATTTTTGGGGATATTTCCATGCTTAATAATGTGCTGTACACATTTGATGATGGTCAATATTCCCCTGTCAAAAATCTAAGCCAAGAAATTCGAGTTCAAAATCAAATCGTTCGATCTTTGCGGCAGATGTTCGGCACGCGTCTTTCAAGCAACTCGCGAGATCTCGCAGTTGAACGGAAAATCACCTATCAAATGACTATGAGCTGTATTTTTTTTACAAAGTATTCAAATTCTATAATCCATATAACATTGCGTCGAATAACAGTTTTGTCAGCAACAATTTTTTAAAACTGTTTTGGTGTTGTTTGCGCATGCGTAGTATGGTCATCCTAATAATTTGGCTCAGTATAATATAAATTAAAAACATACTTAAATAAATATCTGCCTCATATATCTAAAGTTTTTAATAATTATTTGGAATTATGTTCATAGATAGTGTAAATTTACTAATTTAGATTGGGTACATGCCTCTATTAAATCCTTTCAGAAACCAATTGTACATTTAAAAATGTTATTCAACGCTACAATAGTTATAAATACGTCTGTAGCCATTTTACCTTTTTGTTTACTAATTTCTTCTTCCGAATCAATGTTCTCGTCAATAATTAATTGCATGATGTCATTTAAAACAAACGCTAATTCATCCGTTTCAAAATTCACCCGTTTAGTTTCCCGGGAACCTACCGCGTTTATCATGTTATCATGTTTATTATGTTATCATAACTGTGTATGTTATTTTTGTTACATAAGTTTTCCTTGACAACTCCACATTTTAACTCACTGTACTAACAAGCTCCAATTTTAGATTCAATCTTTGTTTAGATTACAGCTATATTCGTTGGCATAGTGTCCTTTCAGATTCCTTACACTGTGTCCGGGGCACAGGGAATCCAAGGATTGCTGTATGTCATGCTATATCTAATAGGCGTGGATTCCTACTATCTCACAATTAGGGTAGGTTGTACACGATTTATGGGGACTTAAATTTACACCAACTGTTTTCAGGATTTATACACTGACCAAGTGATTGTCAGCGCGAATAACCAATCAGCACATCGCGATTTACCATATTGCGAATAGCCAATCAGCGATAGCGTCACACCACGAGTAGGTGTGCACGAGACTGCTGAGTAGTCAGTGGCAACAGAGAATTGTTTATCGGAAATTGTGTTGAACATACCTACTACTTTAGAAGTTGTCTCGGGCCACGCCTACGCCACGCCCTCACCACGCCCACTCTACGCCTACGCCACGCCTACGCCACGTCCTCACCACGCTCACACTACGTTCACACCACGTCCTCATTACGTCCCCATTACGTCCATGCCCGGCCCACACTAAGCACTCACTACGTCCTCACTACGCCCACGCCACGTCCACACTATGCCCTCACTACGCCTACGCCTTCACCACGCCCATGCCACGCCCACACCAAGTCTACACTACGTCCACACCACGTCCACACCACGTCCACACTACGTCCACACTACGTCCAAACTACACCCTCACTACGCCCTCACTACGCCCACACTACGCCACGTCCACACCACGTTCATACTACGCCCACACCACGTCCACACTATGCCCCCACTACGTCCACACTACGCCCACGCCACGCCCACACTACGCCTACGACCTCACCATGCCTTCACCACGCCCACACTACGCCCACGCCACGCCCACACTACGCCTACGACCTCACCATGCCTTCACCACGTCCACACTACGTCCACACCACGTCTCGTGGTGTTACCTTATACATAACTGCAAAGAACCTGAAGGTTTGGAGATATTGAACACACTATGGCGAATATCTGCAAGATAAAAATGTGGCCAATAATTGATGATGTAGTCTTCGAATAAATGATCACGATGATAGAAGTAATCATGTATCTTTTTTCACAAAACAAAATGGGCGGTAATTCTCCATAATACTGTCATCACAATGTAATTTCTGTGTATGGTGATGTCATAATTCTTATTTCCACAGACTATACAGCCTGAATCTATAATGTTTTTTCGTGAGCATTTCAATGGAATGTATCGTACAGATACATATTACATATCGAAAACGCTAGCAGAGGTAGGTCAATAATGTGGTGTAAATCAGTTGAATTACGTACTTTCATGCGACATATAGTGGTGTGTTGTAGATCAACGTGATAGTGCATGTATGTTTGTCTAAATATGGTCACAGTAGGGGGCTCTTGAATAATCCATAAGAATTGTATACGGTTCTATCATTCTGCACATTGCTTTTGACTCAAGATTCTACTCACCGAGTCCGAGCTTGATAACTTACGATTAATTTTCAGATCCCGACTGCTTTTTTTGTGGCTCTCCTTGCTGGGACGGCAGCTTATTGGATGATAGGTAAAATACCCACTCTATTATTGTATTAAATAGACATAGTTTCACAATTTTAATCGTTTCATGAAAACACATGTAAATTGCAAAAAGTAAATGTGAAAATTACCGCATTTATTAAAGTCTGCATGTCCTACTGCATTAATAAAATGACGAACAAGCCTGTCTTCAAATTTCAACCTAATATATCTCCATAAATGCAATATTTTGTATATTTTGAGGCACCATACAAACAGGATGTTACATTGGTCAATGCTTTTTAAACGTTTAAAGACAAACTTTTATTCACTAGTGTGAAACCATATATATGTTGTATATTCGGCGTCCGCGTTTGTGACGTCATTGCTTTCTCTATTTGCATGTGTTTATTGCATGGGTAGTATTTCATGTTCCGTCTGTTAGTCGCCCTCGGCGTTGAAGCTGAGTCATGAACTATACTGGGGGAGGGGGGGGGGGCAGATTGTCTTCAATACTTACAATGTAGTTAATCTGTGATAATCCGCAATATATAACTTTAACATCGAAAAAATGGATGTTTGTATTTGACAATGGCCCATGTACCGCTGTACATCACAACTGCTAGCATTCTTGGTTACAGTGTCACCGTAAACGTAAAGTTAAACCCCATAAACGTATACAGTGCGAAATGTAAATACTTTCCTTATAGTATCGCACACTTGATTGGCATACTGTAAAAGACAATATCCATCTCTGTTTCACGTACAAAGCAGTACTTTCTGTATACTTACTTTTGATTAATAATCAGCGTTCAATTAATGTCATTTTATTATCACGTTGTTACAGGATTGAACCCTGCAATTGAACGGTATCTTTTACATATATTACTTTTGTTTCTGGTAGGAATTGCCGCAGCCTCTCTAGGTTTGTACATTATTTTTAATTTTAATTTAATTTCGTGGGTGTGATGTCTAATTACGTCACCAATTATGTTAAACTCGTAGTTAGTCGTGTTATACTCACGTAACTAGACCTCTAAATATCTAACAATAGGACTTTACATGTAAATTGAATTATTGTGAAGTTCAGAAAACATTTTTAATCACTTGAACACCGTGAACATGTTGGTGAAGCGTGTTCGTGTCGCGAACCAAATTTAAACGATAATATGATAAGGGAATAGACAAGCACCTCAGAAATCTACAAGTGGCATATTGCCGAATACATGCTTGTATAAGTATTACTTGATTAGCCGGACTGTCTGACCGCTATCTCATAAGTCGATGTTAATTAAAAATGGATTTAATCCTACTAGTACCGCGTCATTTTTACACCATCTGATTAAGAATTAAATATATTTTCACGCGCTTATTATTTTGCCCTCCAACTGCGTATCGTTTATTATAATCACAGTATCAGTGCGCTGCCGGTAATGTCTCAATTTGTTTTTAATTACTGAGATCATGTTATAAGTAAGTACAACATTTGCTCGTAAAATATTAACACTAGAGACAGTTTTCAAGCAATACATCCATTAATTGATTTTGGTTACCAACAAGTACAGTATGTAGTGATTTTATAACTGTACATACCATACACATTCAAAACTCAATATCTTCGACCAGTGCGTGATTATTGTGTTACGTATGATGCGTCTGTTACAGCCCATAGAAAACGGCTCACATGCGATAGGCCGACATAATTGTTGATAGCGTGGGTGGCAAGCCGCCGGATTTGTTTACAAAACCATGACGTACGCGTAGTTTTTTTTAGAAGTGTTCTATAACGTCACAACACATCATGAATGCGCCACAGAATAAACCAGTCCCATAAACAAGATTTATTTCTTTATACGATTTATTAAATAAAAAATAAAATGGTCATAGCTGGACCAGTCTAGCACGCAATATTCGCACGGTGCGACATGGACGTAGAACGGACGGCTCAGGACTTGCGTACCGCTAAACGGGCACCATTAAATAAATTGGATTCCCGCCGCCAAGACGAACAAGACCAGCAATGTCTTGCAACTGTGACAATGTTGCTTTAGATTTCAATGAATATAATGATAATTTGTATAGTGTTTTCGAGATAAAATAAATAATTATATTTGTGCTGACCACGTTAAAGAATTTCAAACGGAATTCAAAGTTTTCACTGGATGTCATCACACTAAATTAACTGTCAAATTTTAGGAAATTTGTAACAATTATGATTCTCGTATATAACGTAAATAACAATATGTATATTTTTTTTCAGCCCATGTTTTTTCAGTATCTATATTTATCTGTATTTTCATTTGCTGTATCCCAATGCCAAATAATAAAATTGACATATTGTCTTCATTCGGTGACCAGAACTAACACAATCCGTTTTTTCCCGCTGTAAATACTGTAAATATTGTCTAAAAGTCAGTGTACATTCACAGAGTATGCCAAGCTCAAATATAACCTACATAATGTGTGATTGTACTTTTTTATAGGAATAGCAGTATCTGCTGCATGTACCAATGACGGCGTTGCGTTGACAGTGGCAGCCATGATTATTCTGCCTATTGAAGTATTTTCTGGGTTTTACATCAACGTCGAGTAAGTCTATTGTGATTACTATGAGCTATTTATTCCTCAGCTCCTGAGAGCGAGGTTATTTGTAGATATGTTGGCGATCACCACTGTGTCTGCGGAAGTACTATGGGAGATTGCATGATGGGAGTGAAAAGTCTTTGGATCTGTAAAATAATTTTAGAAAAGTGAAAACTAAAGTGACTGTGAAATAAAGGTTGGTTTTAAATATTAAATATCACGAAATTTGGATGTAATAATTAAAGGAAATTGAACTGGCATGAAAGGGCAGTAAATTTAGCCGGAATGTAAGGTCAGAATCCGGGGTCAAAATACATCTATCAATGCGGTTGCAAAGTGTTAACAACTGGAAAGGTGAAAGACTTCGTTTGCAGTTTGTGTGAATGGCCGGGGAGAAAAAATCATGCAAATTCTGTGCTTCAGTAACAATATTTGCTACTTGTTTGTGCAATGGAAATTAATACAAGAAATTCTGCCAAAAGACATGTCCTTCTAGTAAACAAAACAACCTTGGGACGTTTATCTTGATAAATTGAGAAGACGAAAATCCCTTGGGACAGTCGATGTGAAACAATGGACATGCTTCGCCAGGGTATCAATGAGGGGTGACTCGTTAGAAGTATTCGCCGTGACTCCAGACTTTTCATTCGGGTTTATACAACCAATGCACATCTGTTTCATGTGTTAAAAGAACGTTGCGACATTCTCATGGAATTGTTAAATGGCGACAGTCGTCGTGCCGCGTCCTGTTCGATATGGGACATATAGCGACGTATATACAACGCGTGTAAAATACATTGTTTATTTACATGAAATTCGAACACGCGCTGCGCGACGACCACCGCGCTTTAAATCTTGGTATCATTTCCAACTGTCACCAAACTGTACGTTTTGACGATTCGTATGTACTTCTGGGACTTGTAATAATTTTCTGGGAACTGTACAGCAAATCACATATTTTCCTTATTAGTATTTCATAGTTTTTCTAAATTTCAGTTTTTATTGTTCATAATTAATAATACAGTAATAACATATTTTTCCGATTGTGTGCATGACAGCTTTGCCCACACACAATAAGACAGGATGTGTGTACGGATATGTGTGAGTATGTTTCATGGATTAATAGGCCACTTCTTTGCTTCAATTCCAACTACATCTCTGGAAATATCACTTGCTGTTTATCATCCATATTTTGATATCCCACAATGTGTCGATTGCGTATCTGGAAATTCTAACTACTATTTCGCAAAATTTGACCAGCATTGCTTCTACCAGTCATTTAGTCAACTCCCATATTGTCCTTCACAGTGAAGGTTAATGCAGATATATTGTAAATTACACAGAGGTAACATTACAATACATTTCCCTTTACATTCCCTTGTATTACATAACAATCTTTGAGCTGAGGCAGTTATGGTTCTACAACCATCACCAGTTCTCTTGTATATACATTATATCTACCCGGGTATGGATAGACAATTCATTTGAGTTTGTGGATTAGTTTCATATTGCAGTTTCATATAACCGAATCGTTCAGTTGGTAACCCACTTGTATTCAACGCCTGGAATGCCTGTTAGTATTTAGCTTCCACTGCCATGGTAACACTTATACTTCCTATAGTTTATTAAATGGCGTTGAAAAAACAAACTTTAGATCTCAATTATTTACTAAACGCAAAATATCTGTCTATTTATTAAAAATAATCTTGCGTTCGACAGGCGGATTCTGGCCTATTAATCCCGGTGTCCTGGGTTAATGTCCCAAATACATCAACGTGCATAACCCAAACAAATAGATAAGCACATTTCAACCTTACACGAGTTATAACACATTGCCATTGCCATATATACGAACAGTTTAAACAAGCTACGGCAAAACTCAGTCTGGAAGTGTAACTGATTAGAAAATTTACATTTTATAACAGGTCGATTCCCGTATATCTGCGATGGCTTGAATACTTATCCTATACCAGGTATGGTTATGAATGTCTTTCAATTACGCAATGGTATGGTTATGAAAACACAGGTTAGTATGCAGTGCACGTACGCAATTTAATTCGTGCTCATAGACTGTCGCGGGATGAGATAAAATTCACTACAAATCACGTTTTCGCTTGATTATCTGTCCAGGATATGGTTCCATGTAAAATATGATAACAACACATGGCTCACTGTATAATATAATGCAAATACACTTTTCATATCGGTTCTAAAAATATAGGTCTTATTCTAGCGACAGCGCTATCGAAAGGAAATGGCCTCTAGTCAGCCATTTATTTCTCAACACGAGTAGCATGTTTATGTACACTCAACAGTCTACTATACTTGTCATCAGCTTATGTAGCTGATCATTAGGTGCATGGACGTTGAGTATCATCGGGGGCGGAGCTACGTCACCAGACGTTCCACGTTGCTAAGACACCCACCACTGTACCACGTATTTCTACGGGCTTTGCGCGCGCTGCTGAGAAACGCAGACTGAACGCCGAGCGAAGAGCCGGGGAAAATTCGAGAAAACAACAAGAACTCAACTTTGAACAATCAAATTTATATGCGTTACACACGCATGGTTAATCTTGTTACACTGTTCAGGGGAGTCTCAACAACCATCCCAAAGTACCGTTTTCTGAGAGTTTTCGGCCGTAACAGAACACTCTGAGTCGCATAATCCAGAGTGGGATAACCCCCGTAAGCGAATCAGAGCACGACATGTGTACATGTACATTCGTAATTCCCGCGATATATACATGTATTGAATAATAAACGATGGCACGTTTTATAGATTTTGATGTATTTGTCGTTGAATGCCGTAACTTTCGGCTGAGATCATATCTATTGTTGTGGTAAATACTGGTAATAAGTTCTTCTTTTCTTAGAATGTAATCGTAATTCAACAAAGTGCCTTCACAGTGGTGCCATTATTCTTGATAAATATAACTTTTACTTGGTGAGTATACGTAGTTATTTTAATTGTTATTTTTATTGAGATTAAATGCAGCTTTAATATTATTGTCATATCTTTAAGTCATACAAAATTAAATATTCTTGTAATACTGTTGTCATGAAGATGAAACATATTCGTATAGAAATTCAACCAATAAAGCGGGAACAATGCACTGTCTTGGGAATATTCCAAGGTTTCAAAGATGGGATTATTGTTAAATTAACACAAATGTAACAGTTCTGAATTTCAGACCGTAGTGCGCTGTAATAAAAATAATAATAATAATAATAATAATAATATTTCATATTGGTAATGCCCTAATTACACATATTCCCCATCCAACCTATTTGTGTGTGAAGACCGGCGTGGTATAAATTACCAGAACTTTCTGGATATGAACTTCATTTTATAACATTCCCGCCATTTTGGAAATATCGAGCAATCGTTTTCACGATACGATAAGATGCGGATTCCACGTATAATGTCAAAATAACGACAAGCTGTAACCAACGGTGATTTATTTGTTTTGAGAATGTGTCTCGCGTGACTGTAATTTGTTTTTACTGTCCAATTAGAGTTGCAATCATTAAACTTAATTGAATTTATGCAAATTACATTCATTCAGAATATAAGCCTATTCTATGATAATAACAACGCTATACATACACACGTGTTACATGCATCCGTTTACATTCCTGCTACCGTACTGTCATGAATTTGTTTTTGCGTATCTGTTGACCGACGCTGATTATTAGCGAATTGCTGTGTTATGTCTGTCATCGTTTAGGCCTATTTGAAGTTTTGGTCGGAACTTGGCTCAGTGATTTGGAACTAATTACCAGATAACCGTCGCGATTCTGACAGTTGGTATCCATAGTTATTAATGTAGTGAACGATTAATCAAAAGATATGACGTATTCAGTACTTAGTGTGATTGGCTTTATGATTGAAGGTTACGCTCTAGAGTCTTTTTACTGCATTGCAATTGGTTAGAGTTAATAAAGAGAGATTGAGTTGGTCTTGGGGAGCACAGCACGATAGAGGCAGTAGAGAGAGTGCAGTCCTGGAGAGTCGAGTCGAGTCCTGGAGAGCCTTGGAGCGAGTGTTGACGCAGTCTAAAAGAGTCTTGGGTCAGCCTTGTGAGAGTCTTGGGGATTTTTTCCCCAGGGCGCTGTGTCTTATAGAGTGCTCGATTGACCGACTAAGACGAGAGCTGAAACGTATTTCACTGTGTGTGTCTTATTTGACTGTAAAGCTCAAGTGACTTTCTCGATCCCGCACCTCAAGGGGACGAGATATAGAGACGAGACGAGTTTCCCCCCTGACAAGTGTGGAGACCCCGTGGAGAGAATTTACCCCCTGATAGTACTTTGAGTCATGGAAATTTACATTACAAAAACAAATGAAAGCGAGGCCGGTGCCGAAACAGATTATATCGTGGCATGGTCCAGTTAACAATGATTGGTGACGTAATAAAGTTGACACATGTGTTACCATTTGTCTGATATTTGGAATTTTTCGTATCATTAAAAAAAAAATACCCGTCTTTTCAATGTATGCAATGCATTTACCAACATATATAATGCGCTTTTATTTGTGTTTACACCCCCCTCCGCCATAGAATCCTGTTGGTTTAACTCTATAAACCGGGTGCAACGCACGTCTTTAGACCTATCACTATCCTTTGTTCGCACGATTAGACACGTTATTTGTGTATCTATATTGGTCAGTCTCAATCTCAATTCGTCAATATGCTTTTCTAAAGAATCGGACAGGTTATTTGTCATTCATACATTTATTTAACAGAAACAGATTATTTATCTGCAGCTGGCGCTTTCGGGTCTGGCTTTAGGCTTAACCACATATTATGGAACCAATATATCATTGACGCATAGTGGACATTATGCTCGCCTGTTGACAGAGTTACGCCTGGCCAGTAGATTAATTAAAACCGATTTAATTTGATTTTTTTCAACATGTGACATGACAGTGAGAGGATGTCTCATTTTATTTTCAGGAAAACTTTCCAAGGAATATTGCAATGCTATTTGTAGTCACGATTGTCTTTCGAATCTTAGCGTTTTTATTTCTACTTGGTCGGACATACTTAAGAATTGGACACTCAAAGAACCAATGAAAAGACGGAATTGAATCATCTGATGTTTTACAAGATTGCAATACCAGAGTTCAACTTGCTTTAGGATTGTGTTAACATTTCGACTTGAGTAAAACGTGTATAGAACTGTATAGTCATTTTTTTTAAAATATGAATTTACTCTTATTTTGTTGGCGTGGCAACCAGAAGCTGTGGTTTGATGATATAATCTTTGTTACAATATATCCTGACAACAAATACATGTGTTTTGTACTACTTTTGTTCAGTTTGAAATTCATTAATTAAGCGCATCTGTCATATATTTGCTGTCGATTTACACAATGCAAATTGTTCTTCAACCAACTCACTAGTTTTTGGCAACCAACTCGTTTTTTTTTTCGGCAACTGGCTTACTCATTTCTGGCAACCGACTAACTCATTTTCGGCAAAGAACTAAGGCTGACATCTTGTTTACATCAACGCCGTCTATGTCAATTTCATTTCCAAATGTGTTCTTTTTTCTAGTTACGCTCACATTCGAAATTGTAAATTCAAATTTATACAATATTTTGCAAGAAATTATAAAATATTTAACACTCGCAAGCTGCAGGTATTATTGTCAATTTTGAGTCAGTAATTCGAGAAAGCAAATCATTTGAATATCTGTATAATCCATCCATTACACTAAAATAATGACTACGCGACTTATACCGGTGATAACGTGTAACATTCATCGTTTCAATATTGATTCATTAAAATATAAATACTGCTTCACGCAATACAATATTTCTATATTAGCTGCGAAACAAATAACTGTGACTTTGTATTGTGATTGGCGTAATATAGTTTACCCGAACAACACATGTAGCAGTATTCGATGATATGAACATCTAACATATAATTCCATGCACGTATTGGGAAATCTCGGCGTACGTGCACTGTAATTTTATGCCATCAAACGAATGGCGATAAGTTTACTGTAAAAACAACTTTTTTTTCCGATTTATTTATTACCAAGATAATATATTGAGTAAAATGATTAAATATATTTAATTTAAATCATAATCAAACTAGATTAATAGGTCTGACCTTCCTTGGTTGCTCAAGGTCAAAACTACTCGCGGGATGGTACACACAAGGAGATGGCATCCATGATGTGCTTCCAAATTAGTTACATTTTCACGACAATTTGCTAGATAAAGGTAAACTTTTTCAGGGGGAAATTATTAAATATGGGTCAGATTTCGAAAATCCAAATGATTATTTAGCGAATATTTGGTCACCAATTTTCGGAATTTGCACAGTTATTTGCAAAATGCCGTTTTCGTTCCCGAAATGACGTAATTTTTAACAAAACGTGCCCTTTTCTACATAATAGACAGTTTTGTCGTCCTATTTTCAGACCAAAATTTCTCTAGAATAAGGTTGGTATATTTGAGATGGTGCGAAAGACCGGCGTGAATATGTGTGTATTAGTCTTTTCCGGAAGGTTTACTTGAGACAGACATCAGAAATTTTTCGTATGCCAACTAGTACTTCCTGACATATTCGTATGTATTCATCCGGGAATTTACCCCATGTAGTCAATTTGCGCATACGTCAGTGTTTGAAAGCGTTATACGCACTGGCAGGGAACTGGGAAAAATGGATTCACTGTGCTCATCTAATTTCCTACACTTTTATGATGGTTATGACCTATTTTCACAAATTCGTTATCTTCCGGTGCAATTACATTTAGATGATTATTGTCTTGATTTTGCCGTATTGTGAAATGGTTCAAAATTAAACGTTGGCAGTGTACGGTTGACAGTTTCGCCCATGAGTTATCAGTCGTCGGCATACTGAATTTGACGGAGAATGTTCTTCGTAATAATATTTTCAACAAAATTATTTTTTCTCTCTGTTTTGTCTCTTTTGTGTCGTAAATATCTATTTACGCATTTAGCGGCTACTGTACCCAGTACAGATGCTCCACTGTTCGCTTAGACAAGTAATGACGACTTAACTATGCTACTTGATGGAATATACTCTAAGAACACTAAGCATGCCACCAAAACAGGGCTTAAACAACTTTGCGAATACTGATATGTCCACATCTGTTGGGGTTATCATTTATATAATATTACACGCATGTTTCAATACCGAAGTGTACTGTATGACATGTATATTGTTTTTGCAGTGTGGGATACGGGTTACTCATATGAACCTCTAGATAGAACAAGCTCAGTGCAGAATTCAGACTCCGTAGTATAACTGTCAATGTTTATTGATATACCATTTACTTTGATTGTCACATTATTGTCAATGACAATTCTTTTGTATTAAGGTTTCACACTATAATCAATACTTGTGTCAAGACGTGGGGTCATTAAATGTAACCGCCTCTATGCTTGTATGTTCAACCGTTTTACTGAATATAACTCCAGAGTGACCATGTCTTAGACTTGTGAGGTGAACTTTAGCAATAAGTAATATGACAAAATTACACATTTAGAGGAAATCTTTTCCAATATTGTCTATTAAGGTTGAATCATCCTATAGTTTAGACTTTCAACTTCTGTGATCATACTGTTTGAAACTTGATTTTAAAAACTAAACAAACCATTTCCTTAAGTGTATTTTGAGATTTTTACGCTCCAATTATTTGCTGTATGCGTAAAATAATTTTATGCTAGAAATATTAGAACCAATGAATTACATATAAACATAAATAAGTCCAATTAAACCATATATCTTTCATGGCAATACTATTTACATACGTGAAACGTGTGCAAGTTAATAATTTACATATAAAATAACATAACATTGAATTGCGAAAATGGAAGGTATCCCACATTTGTAAGTACACGATTCGTGTAATATGTCCCCTGATAATCAATTCATTGTAATTGTTGCACAAGTTTTCTAGTATGTTGTACAATTGAATCGTGTTGCGCAATACAATGTTTACGTAATCATATTATAATGTTGATATATACATATATATGATATATATTATATGATTTGTGAATTCCATTAAAAGAATGGATTACAATTCACCACCTGATAATTGCTAAAATAAGACAACAATTTTAAACGAATGTAAATTAGAACACGTACAGCTGATAATGTTCAGGGATTTAGTGTTTACGATCATAATATTTCGACTTGGTCAGATTAGAGTGTATAACTGTTTTGGTACTCCTGGAATTTGATGAAGAAAGAGAGTCTCTCTGTGGTTAACTGTCCGCTGATCAGCAACGAACTCGGACCAGTTTGTTGTCAGGCTCGCGATAAATACCACTCCACCTGGTGAAGAAAGAGAAGAACGTGCGAACATAAACACAATGTAAGTTAACACCGATTTTTTTTTAAATGAATCATCAACCACCATCTATAGAAATACTCAGCAGCAACTACAATGAGAGAGAGAGAGCTTTTTAAAAATAGGATATACATACTTTCTATCGACAAACTAAACAATTTGTGTAATATTTACCATTTTATTAAGTCTCGATCGTAATGCAATGATCGCTAAACTCATTGCATAATTGCCCATCACCCACTGCATTACAGATAAGTGTTGTATGCGAAATACTGGAAAATCTCGTTTGACCTAATTGTTTGTATTCACGAGACGTCGAAATGTACAAATCATAAACAAACGAAACTAACAATTTCTGACCTAACTGGACCATGAAAGAACACATGTGCACTATAAAACCCTCGTATAGTGATAACAAATTTAAATCTCTACTTACGATACACGATTTCCTGTTCAACTAGAGACAAAAGATAATTTTCTCTTCGTAGTCTTGCAACTGCCGGTGTATTCATCGCAAGAATATTCTGAGAAGTGTAGACATTGGGGATTTTTTCTTTCATATATGTGACGATCTCCTGTTTAACAATTCCAAAAAATGAGTATATATCAGTATACGTTAAAATATATATAGCCGCCGTTTACTGGCTCCAGTATGTTATCTTTCTGATATAATAAGCACCTCTCATAATAATAATACACAGGAAAATAAAAAAAAATATAAGAATCATGTTTGATTCTGAATTCGTTACAATCGCTACTTTCACCGTAGGCATTCTAAGCTCAGTAGTTAAACCGCGACCCCGATTATATAAAAGGAAAGCATGAAACATCGTATCGTGGTCCCTCGCAAAATCATTCTTTTCGACAATCTTAACGCCTGTGGCGCGTTATTTTCATGTCGCATACAAACATGAATATATCCGCCATACAATTTCGATGTTAATTTACAAGTTCGGAGCGATGTCAGTGTCATCATAACATAGAATAGATCGCGTGTTTCAGTTGGGCTAAAGCATACACACACATTACCTAACTTTTAGGTGTTTGGCTTCTGCAGCCAATCAGGAAACTCATGTAAGTAACTTCGTATTGACTTGCGTGTTTAGGTGTGCTAATTTGTGCGATCTTGACATGGAAATGAATACTTTTTATCATTCCCTTACTCAATATACAGTACGTACCAGAAAGATTATTATTCATCAATTTTTACTATTTCATATTTCCTGATGGATTAATACAATTCAATAATGTGTCAACTGAATCAAAATTCACAAATCTTCTGTACTTTGGGGGATATAAATTCAATATCAATCAAGTTGTCATTGAAAGTTCAACACAAATTAAACATTGGTAATTATTAGTATTGTTTTGTACTAGTTAAATCGTGACCACAAGATGGCTATGGCTTTACGGTTCAATGTAAGGTAAACATCAGATGGCCACGATGTTTCGTTCAGTCAAATAATTGCCGCTGTGAGTTCGCATAGATTAATTTGCAGTCAGTTTGTCTCATATTTGATATTGCCGGTACTTTGATCTTGTATATCCCATCCTAAGCAAATTACGGAATTTTCAGAACTTCCTTTGACAAATTCAAGACAACCGTGGTTTAACCCCACGATGGAGACTTTTAAAAGTCACGCATAATGTGGATTCGCCGGTACCAGTCGGCGTAATACGATGTCATTGATCATATATGGTTGTCAGCTGTTCACATATGACCATCATTCAGATGGGGTATTGGATTTGTAAAATCGCAAGTGACGTCATAAAGCGACTTTTTCTCATTCTACATGCCATGTGGCAACGTTATGACAATCCTTACTCTAAATCAAATTATTGCATAATACTTTATTTTCGCTTGGAATTAATTTTCGCTGAAGGAATAATACAGTGAAAATAAAATCCAGTGAATATACCCTTTTTCCTATATTTTACATTCAACTCGTCAGCAATCAGTGAAAATAAATTCCATGGAAAACACCCAAAAAGTCCTCTCAGCGAAAATTAATTCCAGCTAAAATAAAGTATTCTACTGTACTTACCGACGAGTATGATGGATGAGCTATGTAAATACAAGATAAGCCATGCTGTATCATTATTTGTTTTACTCCACCAACTACCTTCTTACTCGCACTGGATATGTAAGGCAATAATTTATCACAGTTTAACCGATCAGAGTTCCTCAACTGACGTCCGCATCTGTAATATTGGATAGAGGATTAGTATCACCAGCATAAAACATTTTGAACAGTGTTTGTGAACACCATATATGTATTAGCTTTATAAATATGTATGGTTGCATTAACAGATATAAATATAAATAACTCTTAGACTAGAGACATGTGGAGTGGTGTAAAACTTATATACTTGATCTCAAATTAACACATGGTGCATCTTACTTCTTATTTGAACAATATTGTAATATAAAAAATGAAAATGATATCACTTGCACCGAAACACAAAGATGGTATTAAATGGGATAGTCTCGCGTCTTTCTAAGCAGGAAACTGATCTAAGTAGTATTGTTCACAGAGACGCGATTCATGATTAGAATACCACAATACAAAAGAGGCTTCACTTAGTAAAGTAGCTATAGATTGAGTAAGTTAGTTGATCAATATTCCAAGGTGAAATCATTTACAGAATATATTTAGAATGTTTTGCCCCCTCTGTGGATAATATCATCTTTTAATACAGCCCTTAGATAAGGCTATAGGTGATGAAGAGTTAAGACTGGTGAATTGTTTGATGTTCGTACATTATGAAAACGCAACTTAACAAATGATGTCCTATTTTTGCTGACTAGATAAAAGGAGAAATCAATCACGAATGGGTTATGATCAACAGAAATTATAGTCTTTGATCAGTTCATTCATGCACCATTGGTTGTGATATACAACAATGCTGGTCATATTGTTAAGAGAATCATAATTTGGGATTTATCCGAAAATATTAAAACAATTGGAAAAGGGCATTGAACCTCTTTTTAAGAGTCAAGAAACAAACATTTTCAGAGTTGCCAGAGTTGCGTAAATCTGCTAAAATTGGTTTTGTATTGAAAGTTAGGTACCACAAATTTGATAAAGACATACATGTCTTATTAATCATGCAACTTACTCTGCAAATACGTTCATAAAAATAGCATTTTCGAATAAAATGAAAACATTTCTATGTAGTCACAACAAAGCCGAAATAAAGCGCGTTTTGATCAAGAGGTGCATCTCATACCTAAGATGGTATGTGTGACTCATTGTAGAGGGTACGGATGATCACTTACATTTCTCCCGTCCTGTTCCGCCAGTGCATTGACATGAAAGGTTTACCGTCACAGATGTTCTTTAAAATGTCGTCTGCCATTTCCTTCACGGACGGTGCTCTATCCAGGTGTTTATAGATTGACGAAAGCAATAGAGCCCTCCGTCCTGGCTCAATTTCTTCTTTGATGTTTTTCCAAAAATCTAAAGGTTTGTACATTACTAGACATCGTGCGTCTTCAGCTTGTTCAAAAAACTGTTCTCTGCTTGTTGTTACTGACTTAGGAGTACTTTCCCAAGGTGGCAAATCAATGTTTACAATGTCTTTCATGAAGGTACGTGACAGCTTAAAAGCTTTTTTGTAGACTTCAAAACTTCTTTGATTCCGTTCCGTGAATGGATGTACTAACATTAGATTTATTTTCCCACCACACACTTCTTGGAACCTCTTAGGTGAAACTACGGGTATCATATTATTAAGGACGCCCATGTCGAAGGTTTCACCGAATCCCCACCAGAATCTTTGCTCCCGCAGACCATAGTGATTAGCAAATGGTAGGGCAAATATAGCCCTTTTGTGGTGTAGTGCGTAGAGTAAACCGAGTTTAAAATTCTCGTAATGGAAGTTGGGTCCTCCTTGCAGAAAATTAACTGCAATGAGATACTTCATTTGTTTTGGATCTCTTGTTGAGTTGTAATAATCTGGGAATTCCTGCCAAAATAAACAAAAATATATATTACGTGTTAAATAAACGAAAGCTTATATCACATGAACCATCTTGTAAAGGTCGGTCTGCAGTATATAACACTGATATTCAATGTAACATCATGTGCATATAGGTACATATGTAACTCTGTTTAATGAATAACATATTCTCCGGTTTATCGGTCTCTATCAGACAACTTCACTTTCAGGTATGATTAAAAATAGGTAAATGCGGGGTATGTTGGGTTCAGTGAAGTTTGTAGGTAGCGTTGCTAATTGCCTGTTGCTATGCAGCTGTTCAAAATGGCGTAGCACAGACAGGAAATGAAAATCAGCTGACGTACGAATTGTAAGCATACTAGTGTGTACGTGTGGAACCAACCCTCACATCACAAGCCGGTGTGCACAAACAGGAAATACGTATCAGCTGACGTAAGAACAATGTATAAAATAATTATGATTAAAGTCAATAAACTTCTTCAAAATGCGGGACAATTTGATTACTTTATAGGGCATATTTTGGTGGAGAAATAGAACAATTTCGAAATGTATAATAACGCAACATATATATCTTTCATATCCGACAAAACGTATTCTAATATCATATTATTTACAAATTACCAGAATGTATGTCCGAGTAGCGGAGGTATTGTCTGAAACGCATAGGTCAAAGACAATGTTAAAATGCTTATGTGGATGATATAAATTCTTTTTAACCGATGTTAGGAAGAAAGGTTCAGGTAAACTATCACTTTCATAGTTTGCCACCAATTTCTTAAAAATTTGCATAAACTTGACTGACGCACATTGGGAGCGCCAATTTCACGCTCGAGTTGACCATGACATTGCGGAAAAACGTATAACTTACATATCATTGTTAAAAATATTATTGACAGTAGCGTGCTAAATTTAGCAACCAATCAGCGAAACAGTCACTCACCGGCCGTTGAGGTAATTTCTAAAGAGAATTCACGAAACAATAGGAAGTTAACCACGCTATATTCGTTCATGCAGTGCAGTGCAGCCGAATATAAGGAATATCTGTCACCCTGACCACAGTCTCTCTACTAGGAGAGTGACTGAGCCCTGACGGATCTGGTTGATAACCACATCCAACAACCCCTTGTTTATGACATAGATGTACATCCATATTCATGAGAAGTTACACGACAGTCAGTCAGCATATTTTAGAATTATTTTGAATACGGAAATATTAAAGAGTGTTTTAGGTGTGTTTACGTTAATCGGCGGGTGAGGTTAAGTCAAACGAAATCCAATTATTGGCCAGTTAACAGTAGTGGTAAATCTATAATAAAACTATAGTAGTAAAATACTCTTTGCACATGGATATATTTGTATGTGTACGTTACTGAAGTGAGACAAATATAAAAACACTATCGCACTACTGATTGAAATGTTATGAATAATAACTAAATGTGTATTGTTGCAGACATGTCTTTAAATAATTCTGTACTTCAAAGTTGAAGTACAAATGGTAAATGTTTTAGACACCACCCGCCATTGCGTCGTATGACCTCCGGGAAGACTCAATCTAGCATTTTATTCGTGTATGAGTGCATTTAGTGGCATATAACAGTTTAATTCATACATCGTGTTATAAAACAGTGTAATAATTTTCGATATATTGTGTACTAAATATCCCGATAATTTGATTGGTCAATACAAGCATATTGACCTTTGACATATAACTGACAAACTCAGAGCACGTGAATGTACCGGCCGTTTCACACTATATCCGTTGAAGTATTTTTTTGTAAATGAAATGATAGTAATTTTAAATGGACACATTTAATTTTGACTCATTTTATAAATTGAATACTTTAGAGTCACTCATGACATATACTCTTATACGGTGTATTAGTAAGCCACTCCAGCTACGTAAACCTAACCTTCCATTTCATGTATTGTATCACATATTGAAGGTATAGCAGTTCTACAGTACTCTGCGTATAAATACAATCGTAACACAAGTTGAATAGTAACAACAGAGGAATAGTAAAACAGAAACAGGAATAGTAATTATTCGTTGAAATTATTAAATTCCACGTACACATCTCATTAACAATGCGTGCCTGCTTCGTCCAATGTCATGTGAGTGACGGATAATACACAAGTTATTAATAATTCCAATGCACGTTTCCGACTTTTATACTTCATCTACTTTACATATGTAGCCTATGAGGAATGTGGTAATTATTAATTATCAAATTTTAACGAAACACTGATTAGATAGCTGGTCAACGTAGACAGATGCAGATGAGTAGGACAATACAGGAATCCCCCTCCCCCAAAAGTGCGGTACGAACGTGATGTGACATTACAATTTAACCGCTGTGTTAGAGGTCGCTGAAACAACCTTCACCATATTTACTCTAAAGCATTTTATCATGAATGAACACTTCACGTCATACATGTATAATATAAGTACAGAGCGATTGTGTCCGCTGCCTAACAGCAATACATGACACAAATTCGCTTTGTTCATGTTTTAATCTGTTAACTGACCTCAAAATAACTATTATGTTAGAAAACCAGCAATTTGAGGATTCACCTGAGAAATTAATGTAGCATTTAATATGTCATTTTGACATTACATTGATTGTCAAACTGAGGCTGTATTGTTTAAGCCTAGGAATCATTACAATAAAATTATTTCAATTGTTTGTCAGTTTATTTTCCTATGAGCGTTTGAAAGTCATACCAACTCGTGTCAACAGAATATAATAAAAAAAGCCGTGTTTAACAGCGGATAACAATAGCAGGGGAACGTACTCATCACCAATACAAATATACCCGTAACATACAGCTAAACTCAATTAAACAATATTATCCCAAGACAATAATTACTTACCTCGGGAACCACTACTTTACTTGGTTCCTTCACTTTTATTTCAGTACGTGGGATTTCAACAGGTTCCGACTTCTTTTTAGTTAAAAATGCTGGTAACGTGGAACGTGGGGGGTAACTGATTTTATCTACTGCCTTATGAGTGGTTGTGATTTGCATTTGTAATAGATCTGTATCATCTTTGTTTTCTTCCAGCATATCTTCTTCTACATCATTGATCGGCGGGTTGGCTCGGTTCATCTCATCGTAATCGTAATCATCAGTGTAGTTGTTAGCTTGTGGTGGATAAATGGCAGGCGCCATGATATTTGTTCCCCTATCACCGGCAAATGGCAATTCTTTCAACGATGATTTCACGCGCGGTTTATAATCCTCTAGGTAGCGCACTGACGGATCAAATTGCACACGTTTTAATACGTTACTGAGGAAAATTGTCGCTGCTATAAAGAGAAAAACTATTTTCAAAACCCGGAAAACGAACTTCGATGACATCGCAATCATCTATTCGAGGTAGTGGACGTCAGTCTATGAATCTGGGCACTGTTACGAAGAGATATCACCCACAAATACGAGTCGAAACACGCATAAAACACGTCTAACATAGAAGCCTTGACAATCCGCTCACCAGGAATCGATATTTTGCTAAAACCACCATGAATACATGTGTGTCGGGTCGTCAAACAAAACATAAAATAAAGGGAGTGTTGTGGAACATATTACATATTTTGAACTTTGACATGGTGACGTGTGTTTTTCTTCTGCTCCAGTAGAGACGACTGTAATAGGTTTACGGGTTGAGTCCAATCCGATCACACAACTGGTGTTACAGCTTGCAGAGTATATCTAATTTGCATATGCTGCACTACAACAGTGCTACCATCGACCTCTGTCGGTGTCTCCGACCCTTGTTATAGCATATATAAGATGCGAACGTGGAATATCCACTCTCAGATAAACTTCCCTCGCTGTTGCATGCCACTGAATTCTATTGTATTCTTGCAATTACTTATTTTCACAAATAAAAATGTGAACACAGGAAGGTGCGCGTGTTATATATGGAAATAATATTAGACCAATATTTACTATGTTGTGTAATACAAGTAAGTTATATTATTAACTGTTTAAAGGGAATAATAATAATATGAATTTAAATATGTATTCTAATAGTATTTTAATACGAACCCAAACCGAATTGTAATATAAACTTCAATTGGATTCGAACTTATGTAACTGAACTAAATTCGACCATATACGCGAATAAAATTTAAATATGTACCTAAATAATATTTGAATGTGTATAAAATTCGTATATGCATTTGAATAATATTTGAGCATACACTTGTCTGTGCTTCGCAATTACTGTAGAATATAACCAACGTAACGATTGAGTGGCGATATTACGCAAGTATCTCCATAAATCTCACAACATGAATATTCATCTCGTTATGAATATTCACACAGAGGGAGAGTTCATGGATGTACATCATCTCTGTCAATCATACGGGTCAGTGTAAGACAACGAATCACGAGGTGAACATTTCGCGTTTGAGTAGGCTGGGCCGTACGAAAAATGAATATTATTTTACAAATTGTGTAATATTTGTTTATTTTTGAGATACTTATTAATGAAGAGATATGTTGGGTAAAGGATAACATATTTTAGCGTAAATTACAGTGTTGTATTGTACTTGGTGAAATTGTACACCATTTATAATACACAGATATAATACCATATTTAGTGTTTAGATATTATACTAAACGCAGCTGTTGCCAGGTTTGAAATCAAACGTAATCCCTAATATTTTCGTACCTAACTTAACACAGCGTCATGTGTTGTCGACTAGATTGATGACGTACTCAGTAGACGCAGATACGCTAGCGTGGCATGACAGTGAAATGAAAAATAATGCAGAGAATATAGTAATTATGGTTTAATGATGTATTCAATTCGTTTACAGCCGCCACGGCAACAGAACACGTGATAAAGTATCATTGCGTCCATTTTATAGAAAATAAATTGAATGAAAATATATTTACTACATGACATACAAGTAAAATAATTCGTTACGACTATGACAACTTGGTATGGTAAATTAACATGGCATCCTGATTCCGCCGTTCTTGGCAATTGAGTGTTTGTTCGTATTTTGTTTCCTACAATTCATTTTGCAAATTGTCACGTGCTTCCTGGAGCGTTTGTGATTATTAAAGAAGATAAATGAAAAATACGGTTTTACGTCACAAAATTATAACATGATTATCAGTAATGTCATGCTAATGTCAATTACATACTGAGACCAATATCGCTTTTTTTAATATTGTCTTATTAAACTAGAGATGGTGTATTTGATGAAGCACTACAATACTGATGTGTAAGGAAGCATAACAAATTCCTTTATTTTTTTGTTTTGTTTTTGTTTTTACATACAAAATTAATTTTTAATTTATGTGACCCGATCTGTTTCATTCATATCATCTTATACCATACAAATCTGATTTGTAGTTGTCATTGTAGTTGTTTA